ACAGACTGGAGTAACGTACCACATCTCTCAACGGAAGCAACACACAAGTGAGCGTTATCCGTTCCTTTGATTTCTTTTTCCCACATTTGCTGTAATATAACAGATCTACTTTGGGTGCAGACATCCAGCCTATACTTCAAACTATCATTATGAAGTGGTGCGTTGAAATCTGTAGTGGCTTAAAAACGATTTACTTGTTCGACTATCCTTCCATTTTATCTATTGCTCCAACCACCCTACGGGACCTGTCAAGCATATGCTTTTTTACCCGTTATAAATCATTGTTCATTGTTCATTGTGTGTTAATGGGTATCCCGCAACTCTTCAGTTAGACACTGGATTGGATATCATCATCATTTCACAATTCATTTGGGAAATCGTCGGACCTCCACCATTTTTGCCAACACAACAAATTGCCCTCAGCACATCTGGGACTACTGTCGGACTGGTTGGTGAGATAGGTTGTTTGGTAACCTACAATAAGCAAACGTTAAAGTCCATATGTTACCCAGCTAATCAGCCAGGATTTAACATTATTGGTACTGAGTGTCTAGATAAGCTAAATATTTGGAGTATTTCTTTTGAGAAAGTGTGCAAACTGACACTGGGTATCAGCGTTCGTCCCATAATGCAGGGCTCCAACCGACGATTTCACTGCGGTTGTTTCAGCGATACGCAGTACTTTCTCAGGATGGAACGCCCAAGGAACGCCCAACTACAGTTGCGAACAGTTGCTAAACCAGTTTTGCGTCCAAAACGTCCATTACCGTATTCTGTTCTAACCAGTTTTGAGCAAGAGTTTAATCGTCTACAAACAGCAGATGTCATACAACCGGTCGATTATTCTGGCCGGGGCTGCTCCCATTGTGGTAGTACGAAAGTCTAAAGGCTTCGTCCGTGTATGTGCAGAATTTTCAACTGGGCTTAAAGAGACCCTTCAGACGTACTACTATCCACCACCGGTTGCAAAAGACATTTCTGCGAAACTTGCAGACGGTAGATTGTTTGCCAAACTGGATCTAGCGGACGCATATCTACAGCTCGCGGTTGAGGATATCTCAAATGAATTCTTAACAATTAATACACATCTTGAATTGTTTCAGTTTAATCGGTTACCGTTCAGGATTAAAACAGCGCCAGGTATTTTTTAGCAGCTAACGGAAACAATGCTCACGGGCACCGTCAGTGTGGCAGCTTATTTAGATGACGTCTTAATTGTGGGCGCGAATCCAGTGGAACTATCAATGAGCCTTGACCAGGTCTTGGATCGAATAACAGACTACGGATTACGTCTGGGACCGCAGAAGTGCAGTTTACCCTTACCACTGCTTAATTACCCGGGGTTTATAATTGATTAGAACGGACGTCGTTCCGATCCAAGCAACTTTTCAGCTATTGTTAATATGCCCTCACCAACAGATGTCAGTACACTACGTTCCTTCCTTGACATGTTTAGTCACTACTCTAACTTCCCTCCGGAAATGCACTAACTGCGAGCACCTCTGAACGCTCTACTCGTGAAAGAGGCCAAGTGAAACTGGTCGACCAAGTGCCAAACAGTGCTTGATCGGATTAAAGATATGTTAACTTCCGATCTCCTTCTCACACATTTTGCTCCTAAACTTCCGATTGTGGTAGCTGTCAATGCAGGCAACTATGGCATCGGAGCTGTGTTATCCCACATTTTCTCAGACAGCTGCTAGCAAGCAGTTCTCCACGTATCACGATCATTATCAGCAGCAGAGAACAATTACCCCAAGGTGAAAAACGAAGGCTTGGCTATAATATTCGCTGTTAAGAAGTTTCACCACATGCTATACGGTAGACCGTTCAAGTTACTTACGGATAACAAACCATTGCTGACCATATTCGGCTCACATAAAGTTATCCCGGTAACCACCGCCAGCCGTTTAAATACGATTTTAGCATCCACTACCAATCAACAACCGATTTTGGGCAAGCCGATGTCTTGTCTCTGTTAATTGCTAATCATCCGGTAGATAACAACGAGACAGTGATTGCCAGTATTAAAATAGACCAGGAGATCAATCGGGTAACTCTGGACACCGCGAAATGCCTACCGCTCTCTCTAAAACCTAGACAACAATACACAGCACAGGATGCCATACTTCATAAAGTGATAAAGCAAGTAAAAGAAGGTTGGCCAACACAAGTGTTCGATTCCGAACTCATCCGTTATCACCGGTGCCAGAACATTTTATCCATCGTTGAATCAAGTTTTGCTTTTCGCTGAATATGTGGTTATCCCCACATCTTTATTACGTTTCATTCTCATTCAAGGAATCACCCGCACTAAGACACTAGCCAAAGGTTATGTCTACTGGGCAAAAATGAACGATGATACCGTGCACTTGTCTAACTTGTGCAAACAATGTGCTATGGCGCAACGAGCGCCGAACCGTCTAGCGCCCTTACCCTGGCCGAAAACGGCAACTCCATGGTCTCGTGTTCATGCGCACTGCGCAGGTCAGTCAACCGTAAATCATTTCTCATTGTACTCGACGCTTTGAACATTATATTTTCGGTAAATTGCATGCATGACTCCAGAGTGGTGATCTACAGCAATTTGCCAGGAAGGGGGAATACCTCGGTATAATAATAATCATTGCTTTTTGTTGTGTACAGAAGGTCAAATGCACGAACAGTAGTAAGAATTCCACTCCGGTAAATGAACTGCTGTAATCTTCTTAATCTAATTGGGTGAGTACATTAAGGTGTCGCAAGGAGAAGGATGAACCAATAGGGAAGCAGAGAATTAGACGCTTTGTGTGTGAGCCTGGGGTTGTGTGCACTTGTCTGTTTAGACTAGCCGTCAAGAATGCTGACAGAATACACAACATCGTTCCGTTGAATCCTATGATGCTTCAAAACCATATCGATTCGGTCGTCTTTGTTCGCGGCTCGTCCTGCGGAGCTGCGTGCTTTGTGTAGTTTCGTCAGTGAAGTTTGGTGGCACATGCTTCGTTCGTCTGCTAATTGTAAATAATCTACGGGCGTTGACTGTGCAGCCATCCTCCACCTGGTAAGTGCCTGGCCTACATGCACGCGTTATTTTTATCGGATCTGATAATGTGGACTGTCATTTTGATGCAGCGTTTACCTTCACTCGCACGAATGTTCCGGGCTGGAGCGGAGTAGTAAGCTTCTGGTAAGTGGTCTGATATCGATGGCGACTATCTAACTCGTCGGAATTATTGGTTGCAGGAGTAGAAAGTGCGGCATGCAACTTTGTCCGAAGGGCACGCCGAAGCATGAGTTCAGCTGGGGTTTTGTCTGTGACTCGGTCGTGTGCGGTTCAGTAAGAAAATAGTAGTTATAGAACTGCATTCTCCAAACCCGTACCAGATAAACGAATGTTTTGGATACTCTCTTTCAAGCATCGATTGAACCGCTCTACCATGCCGTTTGCCGCCGGATTATACGGCGTTGTACGTGAGTGAGGGATAGAGTGAAGTTGAAGGAACGAAAGAAACACGTGGCTTGTAAACTGCGGCCCGTTGTCCGTCACTATATCCTCTGATAATCCGAAGCGGGAAAACATGTATTTCAGCCCTCAAATAATGCTGGAAGTAGTCACCTCTCCACACAAATGGACTTCCGGCCACTTACCGTAAAAGCAGGTCGCCACCAAACAGTTCCTTTGATTCTGAGGCGCGGAGCTACATGGACCCATGATATCAAGAGCTACCTTGATCCTAGTTCACATAGGATAGTCAATGGGTTGTATAGGGGATGAAACCGGCCTTGAACTCTTGTCTGCCCTTTGACATGAAAAGCAGTCATGAACACGTTTTTCTATTTCGTTTGACATTCTGGACCACCAGAAGCATGCGTGAACCTTGCGCTTCGTACGAACGATACCAGGGTGGCTTTCGTGAGCACATAGCATGATCTTCCGCATCAAGCTCCGAGGAGCCACCAGCTTTTCGTCACGCAGTAAACATCCATCTATAAATGAAAGTTCGTAACGCAACAAGTAGAACGGACGAAACTCGCCTGTAATCTTGTTATTTTGTGGTCAACCGTTTAGCAGAACCCCCCGAACGCGGCAGAGTGTCTCATCTTCCTGAGCCGCCTTCTGGAGTTCTTCCTTAGTCAGAGCTGAGATTGGTTCATTACTCAGGGAAGACACCAGTAACCTCTCATAATCATCCTCATAATTTTCAGTTTCTCTGAGTGGCAGTTGAGAGAGCCCATCCGCTACCTGGCTTTGGCGTCCAGGAAGGAATTTAATTTGAATATCGTATGTTAACAATTGTGCTTACCAGCGATGTATCCGAAGTGGTCTGATGCCATTTGTTCCCCGAGTAAGTAAGCTATTTAGCGCTGCGTCGTCTGTACGAAGAGTGAAGGGCCTTCCAAACAAGAACAAATTCCACTTCTCACAGGCTCAAACGCAGGTAAGGGTTTTTTTCCCGGCAGAGTAAGAAAGCTCTGCCACCGACAATTTTCCGGAAGCATTTGCAATAACTTTTTCATGCACATTTTGAATTTGGGATAGTATAACACCCAACCCAATGTTTGATGTATCAGTAGAGACAATTGCTGGGCACGTCTCGTCGAAAATCGTCAAAACTGGTGTGGAAGCAATGCAGCGCTTTATCTCGTCAAATGCGTTTTGTTGGGGTGGACTCCAAACAAATGCACTTTTCTCCTTTGTCAGTTCACGCAGTGGCTCAGCAATATTCGTGAAATCCTGCAGGTAACGTAAGTTGTAAGAACACATACCTAGAAAATGCTTTATTTCAATGGAGTTCTGTGGAGAAGGAGCCTCAGTGATGGCACGCGCAGCGGGTCGATTGACGTAAACCGCGACCGTTGGGCACCGGTCCTCTAGCTGAACGGATTTGGAGTAGAGGAAAACTATTCAGGGCGCCCAAAGAGCCCCATTGAAGCAGCAAGCACTACCGAGCTCGCCGCGAAGCATAAAGGCCGTTGACAGCCGCTTGGCTCATACGCCTTAGCAAAAGCCGGTGGCCGTCGAGGTTGTTCATCCGCCCTCCATATAGTACTCCTTCCTGTGAGCAGAAGTGATTGGTCAGTGACCCTATAGTCGGTCACATTGGCTTTGCCATAGCGTCTTGCCAGCTCTTGTTCTAGGTAATGAGGAACCAGGTGACCAGTCCAGGACCTCCCACACTCTAGGACGCTGTCGCTGATTCTCCGCGACTGCTTATTCATCTCTTTTGCGCACAGCCAAGCTTTACTCACAGTTACCTTCACAAGGAAGGCGTTCCGCGATCGGCAATCTGAGAAGCGTCCGGTGGCGTACAGCTCCGCTGAACCAACCAGTAGTCAGTTCACTTCCGGAAGTCATCCATGTCCACTAAAAGTCGGTGGAACTCAGTCAGGATGGTGGGGATGGCTTTCTCTATTCTAAATGAAGCAAATTTTGCAGTGAAAATATTATTTTTTCTATTAACTCGAGTAATTATATTCGTTAGTGGTGCGGTGTTGATAGTATGCATGTCTTTGGTTGACTCCTTCTGGGGAATTTGTATTAATGAGTCCTCTGATGTCAAGGCTATCGAGGTCAAGAGTGTACACCGGCTTCGCTGCAGTGGTAAAAGGAGGGTCGGTTGCAAAAGTATCGAAGCGAGAGAAGCCTGAGACTCTACACACTGTGCACGCCAATTAGCACAGTGTTAACCGATGCGTTGCAGATTTTTAATTATGCCCACCTTTGTCTGTGATTAGAATGCTCTCTTTAGTTTGTGAAGTACATTAGTGCGTTTAGGTCTGGATCTAGAAAGGTTCGAGATCGCTTCATTTAGTTGCTTATCTTCCCTGACCGACCAAGTATAGGATTGTACAGGAAGTCGTGCTAGACAGTCTGCGTTGTATCGGACGGGGTGTCGATGTCGTCGTTGTTGCGATTCGTCTCTTTGCGAAGTAAAGGAACTTCGGCAGGTATGGCAAATGAAATCGTGGAAAATTGAAGCAGCGGCAGAAAACAGAAAGACTGTTAGATTACTTCGGTGGGCTGCGAGATGTCTCAGGAGACCACTGCGTGTCTTAAGCATCCGAGGGCATAACTCGCAACGTTTAGGTTGTGTTACGGTGGAGACCGGTATGGTGGGTGGTATAAGGTTCGCGGGAAAACAAACAGGGTGGTACGATTTCATGCCTTGAAAGTAGGCAGTTGCAAGGAGGAGAGACGAGGAAGAGCGACAGATGGAAGTGATGTCATGCTGGGTGTGGGGGACAGGGACAGAGGGGAGCGGCTCCGCATGTTGGATTCGGATGAAGCAGAGGCTGATCCGTTTGCAACGTTGCTAAAGTATGCAGCAGTTTCGCCGGTCCGATGGTTTGAGCCGAGGGAAATAGGGGAATAAGCGGAAGTTTGGGCCGCAGGGCGTTCATAGGCCCCGATCCGCGGCTGGGGTTTTGGGTGGGGTGGGTGTGCAGAAGAGGGATCCGAAGTCTTTGGAGGTGTGGTTGCTACGGCTAGTTGAACTTTAGGAGATTCATCGCATAGCCAGGGGCAGAGAAGATGTAACCCTGAGGCGTGCGCAGAAGCCTTTGGGCCTGGTGGGGTTCCGGGATTTCGTTTAGCGAACATGTCAACCGCTGTCGCAACAGCAGGAAAGAAATAAACGGAAACGGAAATTGGGGGCGGTGATACTGGAGTGTGAGCGGCTTTCGGCATGGTCGGGCTATCCCGGGGAAAAAGGCTAGAGTTTGAGCTAACGGTTATCGCGTTGAAGGTGGTGGTTTTCCGGTGTCTAGGTTGAGATGGCTGTGTAGACCGGCGCCTCCATTTCAGGAGTTGTAGCCTTCTCATAATAGCTGTGTCCGTCCTCTTCGGAATCCGGTGTCTAAACTGGGTCACCAGTGTCCTCCGAGTTCATAAATTGGTGCGCATCTCCGTCGTCATCCTCTTACTGGGTCCGTCCTTCCAGCCACACAGCTAATCCTGACCTTAACATCTCCAGGTATCCGTTAGGGTGCAGCCGCCGCAATAGCCGTAGTAAAACAGCCAGGAATAGGTAATTCTGGGGACAATGGGAGCAGCCGTGCCAGGTTGAAGACTATGGGAGGCGGGGTTGTGTGGTGGGTTAGAGGTTGGGGGCAGTGCACCTGAAATTTGTTGCTAAAGTAATAAACTTAAACAAGGTTTACCAAGAGATGCTTGTGACCATAGAGCTCAGGACGCGGAAACATATGCTAAAGCATATAATGCTAAGTAACCTACGAAGGAAATATGTGATGAAGCCATGCAAAGCGTAGCTGGATGCGTTAAACGAAAGTGGCTAACGAATTTCGCAGACTTACAGAGTCAATGGCGGTTGGATGCGGACTCAAGAGATATGCACATAAATATATATGCAATTTGGGTGGTCAAAAAGTAGGCATTACGAGATCAAACAGACACACTAGACATACAAAGAAAAAAGGTAGAATATGGATGGGGTGTAGCTGAGAGTAAGGAATAGCATGTAAGACTGAATAGAAGAAACGTCTAAGGGTGGGAAATGTTGGTAACGCCCATTATCTGTATCTCAAAAAGGATGATCAGGAGATCAGCCCCAGATGGGATAAGAGGATGAACTTAAAGATCTAGTGATATTAGATCCGCTGAGTAAAAGTTACTCCATTTGCTTGGATGCGTTGACGGTTAAAAGTAAAGGAAAATAGAGCGGAAATACTTTTAAGGACCCAGCCCTAAAGGAAATGCCTGTTCTGAAATCTGCTGCCATAGGTCATTCCAATGTTGACCTCAACCACTACATCACCAACCGTCAGACAGCTGCGCCAGGTTTTCAGTCGCTTTGGTGTGCCCGAAACCCTTGTGACCGACAATGGACCACAGTTCACCTCGGAGGGAATCGCGACATTTTGTCACTCCAATGGTGTGACTCAATGCGAACACCACCCATCCACCTTCAATCTAATGGTCAGGTGGAGCACTTTGTTGACAACTACAAGCAGGAACTTATCAAATGGAGGGGAACAATCCCACGGAGAAGTGCATACAAAACTTCCTCATGGTGTATCGAATCACTCCACATCCCGCGTGTTATGGAAAGTCACCGTCAGAGATGCTATTAGGCAGACAATTCAGGTCCGTTTGGGATACACTTCTGCCGAAGCAAGGTCAAAAAATTACAGAATTGTCACAACACCAACAGCGTGGTACTGTGTAGAATCTACAGCTCGGTGAAAGTGTATGGCCAAGAACTTTTCGTCAATCGAAAAGCAGATGTTCTCCGGGTGTAGTTAGCAGACAGATTGGTCAAAGCAGCTACCTAACATAGGTCCATGGCGAAACTTGGCACCACCATATGAACCAGCTCAGACTTCGCACCAGCAGTAACCATTGTTTACCTCACCGGAATCCCAAGCTTTATTTGCAGATATTAAGGGAGAAGTTCTGGTTGCCGAAACTAAGAGACACAAAGCCGGATCGAGTGGAAGATGCAAGCCATGAGTCGGTACCGTCATTGGATACAGTAGGCAGATGCCTAGTTTGGGATCGAAGAGCCACCAGATCGATACATATGGACTCAAGGGCTGGAGGCTCTAGGTAGACATGTCGACAGAAGTGGGAGGTGTCATTTATGGAAGGCTAACTCCAATGCTGCACATGACCTGATCCCAGCTATCCCCGATCTAATCGGATTGTGCCACTGCCCAGCCAATCATCAGTGGGTTGACATTAATGAACCGTATAACTCAGCCGGTACGGGACACATGTTGACTCTGGACTCTTGATCTTGTTGTATCAATACTACCTGGTCACATCAAGGATCTAGTATTTTATCCATCTACTTGGAGTAGTTCTGCTAATATCAGAATCAACAGAGTGTTGGTGCATGACCGGTGTTGAAGGCAGCTAGGCTGGTCCAGAGCCAAGACGTTACAGATTTCAGAGTAGTCCACTGCATCTTCAGCTACGACGGCTTCCATTGTCTTTGTGAACACAGGGATGAGAATCACGGGAATGTCGGAATGGCTACAGCCTTTAAAACTTAGATCGGTAGTGCCATGCTTTCATACAGTAGGGATTTGTTTTTCATCGAAGCATCTTTGAAAGAATTGTGACAGTGGATCAGTTAGCTTAGTGGCCGCAGACTTCAATGCTTTCGGGCAAATGTTCTCGGCTCCCGGAGAGCTATGATCGCATCATGAGTACAACCTTTTTACACCCTTTCTGGGAAGCAAAGTACATGTTAAAAACCTCGGTGTCTGTTAAGTGGATAAGGTTATGTGACAAAAACAAACTACCAGTTCCAGTACTAGGGGTTAATTTCATCGCAGGGATTGGCTGCTTCGTCGACGCTTTGTGTCCCACAGTCTGTTGTAAAAAGTAGATGGATGCCGTGCTTTATTTTACGAAGCCTGCTTGTATACCTCTACAGTATTTTGTTGTTTACAAGAAACATTTTGGCTAGGCACTGTTGATAAGTTACCTTGTCCTAACGGACAATGTGATGCAATGGTTGCTGTGGGTCAGGACTTGGCCCCAAATCTCGGAATCTGAGTTGTCTTTGTAGGCACACCGTGTGGCTTTCCTTATTGCCATGCATTTTTAACTTCTGTTTAGGAGAATTGACGGCAGTTTTGCGGAATGAATTGGCCTAGTTTCTGATACACTGTTGTGCAGATTACTGATGCTTTCTACGAACTTCGTCCAGACATTTTCAAAGGGACTGTTTTTCGAGGACTTCCAAGAGGAAACCTCTAACATTGCTTTCAGGACTTGGTAGCGTGCGTTTGTATGAGTAAATTCCGAGCGTTCATATGGATCTTCTGTTTAGCATACCTAGATACCAGCAGGCTATATGTGTAGACAACGCCCGAATCACTGCTACCCAGCCTCCTCATCGATTGCAAAATGGGTCGAGAAACTTATTTCAGGAAATCACAAAAGCACTTGATATCAGCGTTTGGCGTAGCACAACATCTGCTCAGAACTTCACCGTTCACCATGCAATCTTAATGAGACGGAGTTCCCGAGCCTTGCGTCGACATAACTCAGGAAGTACAACCCTTTCTTCCGCACGGTCGGCATGTGTACAACAATGTTTACATGTCTTGCGCTAGTTGTCAGTAGCAGATATGCTCGTTAGAGTCTTTTGCATCTTAACTCGCCGTTGTCTGCAGATCAGTGCACTGGATCTATTTTATCAATATGTAAAAGCTGGTATTTTGCTAGTAGGGTGGAAGAATGCTGTGGTTGATCCACGCTGGATATCAGGTTGTGTGCAAGATGCGAGGAGCTAACGCAAAATCAGCCATACTTCCATTCTCTCCAATATGTTTGGAAGTCACATAAAGTCCAGGAGGGTGATATTTTAGGAACACCAATTCTTACTGTTGCTTCACAGCACGGCTTCCAAAGTTCGCGATCCTGCTTGACAAATCAGATCGAAGTTCTCAACCTTTATCTTGGTTTGCTTGACTGTAATTCATCGGATATGGTTGTATATCATGACATGCAAGCTGCATTTTATCTTCATTAACTTGCCATTTAAGTATCCTAACTAACTGCTTGGGGGTAACCCAGCTTTTGTGGTACGATTCCTGCTTGCTAGCAGAACCCTAGTAGCCCAGATACACAATAAAGCAATCGCACCCAAGCCAGTCGGGAGTGGCGTGATACAAAGCAGTCTTACGGGATCTATCATTCCTATAATATTTAAATGGAAATGTTAGCATATTTCTCGCTAGATAGCCACTCCTGTTTGCTAGTGGAATTAAGATTACTTACATTTTTTGGCCTGCTGATGTAAAAACATACTCAATGCAATCCGGCCAAATTTTTATACTCCTGAAT